ATGTATTATTTTCTGTGAGTTTATAAGTTTTTCAAAAAAAAAATCAAAAATTCGAACAAATAAAGCAGATAATTACAAAATTAGATTTAGAAATGTGTAATTTTTGCTTCTTTTGAGCATTTCTTTGCCCCAACAAAGTGAAAAATTGCAAAATTAGATCTAAAAATGCATTTTTTTTGCCTATTTTTAAAAATCAAAGGATTTTTCACTGAGAAAATAACTGAAATTGAAGAAATAAGTTACAAAATTAATAAAACAAGGCAAAAAATTGCAAAATAGCCCTGAAATGCCATTTTTTTTATTATTTTAATGGATTTAGCAAATTGACGCAAACATTTTAGAATACTTGTGATATTTTATTTTAATACCGACAATTCCGATCGAAACTCTTTTTTCTTTGAAAGATATTTGTTTTTTTTAATGGAAAACGGTAGTGTTTGGATGACATTTTTTATTAATCGAAATACTCGAAATTATTGTGAAATTGTGAAACTAGAGTTAGTTGAAGTCTTTTTCGGCGTTAGTTGGTCACACTTATTAATTGAATTAGTGACACGCGTAAGCACACATTACCCTAACCTTGTACCCCCTGCAATAAAGCTTGCCCTAAATTAAGAGTATTGGGTCGTGGGTTTGCAGCAGCGACAGAACTAGAAGGCGAACTTGAAGAAGAAGGTGCTATTCTTGGCGATTGTGGAGGAGTTCCAGAGCCTAATAGGTTTTATTACAGTTAAAAGAAAGTATTTTGATTAAAAGAATAGAAATTCTAGCGTGTGTTTGCCCAAAAATTACGTACTCTCCCTTCGTTTTGTAGCACCTAGAACCGCCGCTAGGGCAGACATCATATCACCCAAACAACCAATTTTGCCAAATAAATTATCACTTGGCACTGATAATAAACTAGACTCGAACTATATAAAAATATTCTCGTCACTTTTGGCAACACTTTCGATATGTTGTCACTACGCCAAAATTAACCAAATCAACTTTAAGTACACTATTTATAGGCTGAATTATAAAAACACCGACAAGTGGGCATAATGTTTACATTTTTAAAATAACTTATTTCTACACATGCATCTGCTATACTACACCAAAGACATTGCTAGATACACTACCCTAAAAATACAATCATGCATTCTCGATGCTATTACGCAAGACAGGTCTAAATATTTCTGCTCTGTTTAGATTTTTCGACTCTCTACAAGCTGGTGCAAGTGTGCCTTTGAGAAAAAATTAATATCGTATAGTGCCCTTCAAGATTTTCAAGTCGAGCAATTAGTATAAGCTAAAAGATTGTCATGTAATAAATAACAATTTTAGAAATTCATTTAAGTGAAAAATTATTTTCTTATTTAGTTGCAGACTGCATCATATCGTAACAAGAATTGTATTTAAAAATTAGTTTAGTTAGTAGAAAATAGTTGTTACAAATGATGCAGTGTTAAAAATTATATATTTAAATAAATTACCTTCCGGTTCTTTGGCAATTACAGTAGAACTGCGGTCGACTCCGCCCTTCTTATCCTCTGAGCGAAGCCCAGAACATAAATAGATTATCTAATATTCCCTTAAATTATATTAATTTATGTAGGTACACTTAGATTCTAGATAAAATTATTCATGTGCCCACAACAAAAATAAAATAAAAAGTACGGTGCAATGAAATTCTAGTGAAGATAATAATGTCTCGTTAAGATGCTTCAGAAAATTTCTTTTAACTGAAATTTATGTAAATATATTTACTGCAAGCAACTCAGTGCACCAGTTTCAAAATTCCAACTTCTCAAACAATTTATTCTTTTAATGAAAATACTTTTTTTATTCATTCAATAATGATGGTATTCACAATTCTATAGTTTTTCTGTATTTAGAACCCAACAAATTTCGTATTTCTTTCTGTTATACATAATTTTTTAAATTTGTGCATTCCTATTTAAGAAATTTTTAAACGTTTTTTTTACAAACTTAGATATTGTTTAAACCAGTATTTCTTGTCTCCCCCACTGTCTTTTGCAACACGATGTTTTAGAAAAGTCTAGATTGACATTTCTTTAAGAAATTTTTAAATGTTTTTTTGCAAGTCTAGAAAATTTTTAAGCCAGTATTTCTTGACATTTTTTTGGTCTCCCCAACTATATCTTGAAACAGGATATTTACAAAAGTTTTAAATTACTTACATTTTTTAAATTTGAGCATTTCTATTTGAAAAATTTTTCAACGTTTTTTTTGCAAATCTAGATATTGTTTAAACCAGTATTTCTAGACACTTCCGTAGTCTCCCTCACTGTCTTTTGTAACTCGATGTTTTAAAAAGTCTGGATTGAGATTTTTTTAATTTAAGCATTTCTTTAAGAAATTTTTAAATGCTTTTTTGCAAGTCTAGA